GTTCTGCTCCTTGCTTATCCACGATGAGATTTTAATCACTTCCTAATTTGTTGCACTTACAAGGGAATGTTGAGATAGCAAAGTTTCTGACTTCAGAAACATGGTCCCTAATTTCTCCTGCCTTCAGCTTGCTGTAGGAATGTGCTGGTAGCACCTCAGGTTTGTGGGTGTTGTGGCCAGACCAGCAGGTGCACTTTGCAGTGGGTAAATGGTTGAGGCTGTTAGGTAGCTAACAGATGGGAATTGCATTGGGAAAACTGACCGTGCACGGGAAGTGGGTTTGGAATATCTCCTCTGATAATTCACCATTGTTGAAAAGTAGCTTTATAGTGGCAAACTTTAGAGAGCTGTTTGTATGCAGCTGGGACTGAATTTACAGACTGCCTTTCTCTGACTTGCTAAAAAGCTAAGGATTGACAACCCCTTTCATCCTGCATTATCCAGTGTAGCTTTTAACTCCAAGAAAACTATGTTCACAAATTGATGCTCTGCTCCTTTGGGGTTGGTGCAGAAACATTAAATTGTACTAAAATATTCATATGTGAGTGCATTTAGCTGAAAGCAATTGATGTGCTTTTCCCTGGAGAGAGGGGGAAAAAAATTGCTGTGTGGCCCTGCACTCCAGCAGACACCCCAACCACGCTTAGGAGTAATTACAGAGCTTGGCTGATCAAAGGTTCTTAAAGTGAAAAAGGGGCTGTAGTTTAGTCATGTGCTGCTTGGAGGGAATGTGCTCAGCTGCAGCAAACAGTTCGTGCTGGAAACGTGAACTAGTGAAAGCCAGGAAATACTTTATTGGGGTAATAGCTTGTAATTGGAAAGAGTCTCTTGTACAAAGCAATTTTCAGCACAAAGGTTTCTTTCTGATTTCACTGTCCTTTCACTCTTAGCAAAGAAAATAAAACACCTGAGCTGCCTTCGCAAGGAGAACGTTGGGGGGTTATTAAAGTGCCTGTTTAAAAGCATGTGCTGGGCAGGATGATGAATTGATGTGCTAAAGATTTCCAGCATAATTCAGACATTGGCAGAGAAATCAATAGTAGTTGATGGCATGTTTGAGAAGGAGTTACCTCATCTTGTGTGGCACCTGTGGCTCACTGCAGTCTCAGCAGTGTTCACAGGCACTGCAAGTTGCAACTTAAGCAAATGTCCCTTAACTGCCCTAAGACAGCCTAAGGGATATTTAAATATTCTTCTAGGTATAAATGAAGTAGTATCATATGCCACAAATTATTCAGTAAATAAGTGGAAGAGTCTGTATGCACAGGAGAGCTGCACTGGTGTGTTGGTAATGGTAATTGCCATTACTGAAAAGAAGTTTGTGTGGAGATCTCATAGCACCTGCAGGAGCTGAAGGGGCTCCAGGGAAGCTGCAGAGGGACTCTTGGTTAGGAACTGCAGTGACAGGACAAGGAGTAATGGGTACAAATTGAAAGAGGAAATTTAGATTAGGTATCAGGAAGAAGTTTTCCCTGTGAGGGTGGTGAGACACTGGCACAGGTTGCCCACGGAGGCTGTGGCTGCCCCAGCCCTGGTGGTGTTCAAAGCCAGGTTGGATGAAGCCTTGAGCAACCTGCTCTGGTGGGAGGTGTCCTTGCCCAAGGATGATCTCTACTGTCCATTCCAAGCCCTTAACACACTATGATAACCACCCACATACAGCACTCCTTGCATTTATCCAAGCAGTGTGTACCTGGCTGTGTGGATTCTGGAGCCAGCTGTGCTGAGCTGTGCATGGGAATTCTCACGGACTTACTGTAGCTGCTGATGTATAAGTTGGGCATGGAGCAGAAACAGAGTTTAGGAAATGGCTAAGGTGGATTTTTTTCATTTATTAATTAGCATGTGATGTCTCTGTAGGACATACCATGGCTATATTTGTTGCAAAAATACAAGGCTAGATGAACGCTTTAACTAGCAACTGAGAAGTTGGATTCTTGATCTGGAATCTTGTCTTTGGATAGGATAAATTTGGGAGTTGGAGTCATGATCTGTGCTCACAAAGTTAGACCTCTCTGTCTCAGGGTCTTGGCTGCCACCAGGGCCTTGTGTGGCCAAATGTCAGCACTCTTGGCCTTTGTGCAACCTTGGGCTGCTGTCAGACAGTTCATAAAAAAACCAAGCTTTGTGCCATGGCTGTGACATATGTGCAGTAATTATTTCCCGTGCAAAATGAAGTTTCTGTGAGGCCAGACAGCTGCCTAACCTGATGCCATGCCCTTATACCACCAGAGCTTTGCACTTCACTTTTGGGACTTTGGATCAGAGAGTGCAGTGAGCTCCCTGGTATGAAATCGTGTGCTGTTTTGTTGCCCATTCTCACATGGCACAGTGCTGGCAGCAGCCACCAAGGAGCTGGTAAACCCCACTCACTCCCTGTCCTGTAACTGTGGCTCAGCCCCAGGAATTAGAGCAGCTTCCAGGGATCCAGAAGCAGGAATTTGGAGTTGGTATAAAGCCACCTTTGGCCCCTGAGAGGTGCAGTCTCCAGACTGAGTTGTGCTGCTTCATGCCTTGGTGTGTCTCCTGTGCTGATGAGCTCCCAGGGACTGAGATCTCCTTCCAGACTGTGATGTGCTCTCTGCTGCCAAGGCAGACGTGGCACACAGTGGCTGGAAGGGACACTGCTCTGTGGCACCATCTGCTTTCTGTTCCCTTCCCCCAGTGCTGGGGACTGCAGCCCTGGCTCAGACTTTGAACTAACACAGGAGAAATGATAAGGCTCAGCAAAAGGTATGATAGAAGTTAGTGATTTCAGGGAAACCATCAAAACAAGGTTTTTACTCTGAAAATAACGCAGAGATTTGAATTTCTCAATGCTTTATGACCTCTCTGGGTGACCAGTTGAATTATCTCCTTGGAGAGCACTGAACAGGCCTGAATCCTTATCAGATACTCAGACCTTGTGGGTCCTTTGTGCCCCTCCTGCTGAGCTGTAGATGAGATTAAAACTCAGGTTTTACCCTGTATGGCACTGTTGACAAGGCCCATGTGTGTCCCTGGTCTAGAGACACAGCTGAGGTGATCCCCCCTCAGTGTTAGAGCTGACTGGATGCACTAGTTGTCTGAGCCAGGAGCACACAGCCTAGAAGGGCCTGGATGCAGAAGAAATGCCTTTTAGACAAGTCTGATGATTTACAAATGTCCTTCTAATGAAACATCCTTGTCTTTCCTAGATTTCTAATAGAATGCACTCCCAGGCATCAGGCTGCTGTTAGCTGGAGCCTGGCCAAGGCTGAACTCCACAGTGCTGAGCAGACTGATAAGGGTATCTGGTAGTCTGCATGACTGGCACTTAATGAATTGCTCCCCAAAAAATCAAATTACAGTAATGTGTCTTTAAAAAGAGCTTGTATTAAAGGCAGTATGATGTTAGAGTAATTCCTCCTGTAACATCTGTTCTTTTATTTGGTATAATTAAAATCTGACATTCGTAGCATGAGTTTTGGTAGGGACATATTGTGTTACGTTGCAGCTGTGGGTAAAAAGGATTGACCTCCACTGGTAATCCACTTGGTAAAAACCTGCTGAGGCTGAGGAGAGTCTGAGTGTGTTCAACAGCTGTGTGGGTTGGGGAAATACGTGGATTCTGTGCTTCAGTTTCAAAGCAAACCTTTTTAAGAGGAGTTACTTTGTTCCTGCTCTGTTCACCCTCCCCATCAGTTTTCACTGCAGAGAGATTTTTCTATCAAAGCTTAGAAGAACTGCATGAATTTTATTTCTCTATTCCTATTTAAAACCCAGTGTAATGGGTGAAATCTGTAGCTGGCCAAACACCAGAAAGCAATCATCTTTTTGTCTGTAAGTGATACCAGGACTCTCAGGCCATGCAATCTGCATGGGCTGTGTGTGTACCTTTGTCAGCCTTTTCTGTAGGTCTCTGTCCCTGAGCTCTGCTTCCTTCTGCTGTGTTAAGCTGCTAAACTGTAACTCACAGCCTCAGTTGCACAGTGTAAGATTGTTTCACACCCTCTTACCCTCCCTGGGCCCCAAAATAATGTATTGACTTACATTCATATTTTCTTAAATATGGGCTAGCCTTGGGGTTTTTTTTTAGAAGAGACATTCTGTTAGTATTTGAGGTTTTGTTTTTTCTAAGCATGTGTAAAATATCACCTTTTAATTGGTTTGGACAAATGAGTCCCTAAATAATTATATGTGTTAGTTTTGTGTTATTGAATGAGTTGGTGAAAAGTACTTTCTTGGGTTTTCTGCTGTAAAATTAGTTAGCTAAAAAGTACAGCTTTGCTGCTTGGGCTTGTGCTGGTGGAAGAACTGTCACGGGGCTGAAGTACACTTGGCTTTGGACAGGTGATAGAATGGATGACTTTCAGCCTCAGGGAAATAATACTTTTCTGCTGTGAATAGGAGAGTTGATGCAGATCTGTTTGCCTATAAATTTTCATCTCTTTTGAGTGTAAGTCTCCTTGGAGATGTGAGATTGGGAGTTGCAAAGGTGTTCTACATCTAACTGGGAAGCTTACCCTGTGTGGAAGAGACTGGGGGAAGGAAAGCTGCAGGGCACGTGAGATGGAGAGTTGGGGTGAAGCATAAAACTCCAAGTGTGTAGTGCCCCAGTGCACTTTGGTGTCTGGAACACTTCTCCTGTCCTGTAGGAAACCGTGTGAAGGTTTGAACACCTGAATTCCACCTTTGTGCATTCTGCCTCAGTTAAAGGCTCTGAGGCTTCAAACAAAAGCCTTGGTTTGCTCTTCAGGCAGCTGCATTATCCATTTGTAGGTTATCTTGCTTCATATTTGTGCTGGGAGTCTCCAGGGTGGTGGATAACACGGGTTGTCCTGTGCTCCAGCTGAGCAGTGTTGTGTGGGTTTGCTGCAGACTCCCCTGGGATTCTCCCTGCACAGTCACATTGCTTCCCCAGGTGCAGAAGGATCAGCCCTGAGCATTGGGAACTGCTGTAATGTGACAACTGAGTGAGCTTTGTGAGAGCTCATGAAACTCTGTGGTGGCTACCAAAAGTCTCTCTTGTTTTCTTCCAGGAACTCTACATTGCTGTGGGAATATCTGGAGCAATCCAACACTTGGCTGGAATGAAAGACAGCAAGGTATGTAAAGGTGGATGTGTTAAAGAGGCTTCTGAGGAAGGAAATGAGCTGACTTCCTTGCTTTTACATCAGTCCTTCAGACAAATTTCCAATGTGCTTAATGTTCAAATTGCCAGTTTCTCTGCTGCTTTAAACATGCTTTGCCAAGGGAAAAAAAAGATCCTGTGGCAAAACATCTCACACAGTAGAAAAACCTTTGCACTACAACCCAGAGTGGTGAGTAGAAGCTGCTGATTGACTTTGTTTGTTTAACAAAACCCCAAGCCAAGCCTGAATTCTGTACAATATTCCATTTGCCTTTATTCCAGACTATGACATATTAATTCATGCATAACAATGTGCAATTTGAATTAGGAACTTAGTATTCCATAAAGTAAGAGATGTGTCTGACATTCCTGCATTTAGCCATTCAAATGGAAACCTAGTGTAAAACGGCAGGAAAACTTTAAAAGGTTTAACTCGTTAGTTGCCAAAGCAAAGAATCCAAGGTTGGAGTTGTTGGTTCGGTCCAGTGTGCAGTGTTTGGGAAGAGGAGCACAGGTCCCTGCTGACTGGTGCTGCCAAATGCCAGACACCAGGAACTGGAGCTTGTCCTGCCTCCCCACAGGACATTTGGAAAAATTATATGTATTTTTTTCTGCTGCCAGGGAATGAGCTTATGCTTTCTGACAGAAACCAAGCCCACTATCTTAGAAAGCTGAGGAAAAGGGTGTGAAACTCTAGTTAGATTCTTGTGTTTAACCAGTGACACCAGTGAGTTTGTGGCTGCTAACTGCCCTCACAACCAGCCTTTGTGGTAGGATGAGCTGTGCTTTCTTACAATTTTTTTTGGCATGTACTATTTAAATAGCTTTGGGGGAAAATCAGGTAAGCTGCATTTGGGCTGCAACACCCTTTTTGGGGCTTAAGTAAGTGGTGTTAGTAGGTGGAGAACACCCAAGCAACACTGAACTGTAGGGATGAGAGGTGGGCAGGGTGAAGGTTGCTGTGGAGAGGTGTGAGTGATAATACCTGTAGCAGTGTATTCTCACTGGTTGTGGAGCAGAATTGCTGCACTTTCCCCTGCTCAGAGCAGGCACAGTCAGGCAGGAGGGTCTGAGGGCAGCACTGCTGTGGCACTGCTGTGGGTCCCTCTGGGTGCTG